GAGGGGGGGATGACAACAGAAAGAGAAATTCTATCTCCTGATGATCTTAGCAGTTGGAGGCTATTTTGTCATCCTGGTCTCCTACTCCCGGGTTAGCTCACTGCTGCCCACGTCTCTTCCAAAGCAGTCCCTCCTCGTATAATACTAATAATGGCCGTCACAGAAGAAGCACCTGCTACGTGCCTAGGAGCATACACTCGTATCCTTAAGCCTCACCTTAAACCTTAAAACCAATATGCCCACTTTGCAATTGAGGAGACATTTTCAGAGAAGTAACTGGCCCAGTATCATGTAGTTAATAGGTAGCAGAGCCGGAATTTAAACCCAGTTTCCTCTAACACCACCAGATTCTAATATGCTCTTTTTCACTACACCATGTCTCCTTTCTATCACAAATCCATCTCAAGTCAACAAAGTTACTGAGCATCTACCAAATGCCGGGTGCCACTGAGCTTTCAGTTTCTATTTCCTGAGTCCCCTGACTCCAGCCCTCTGTTTCCCTTTTTCAAATGCTCCCACTTCTAAATAACTGTCTCCTTCCCATCACCCTTGTCCCCCATTCTAGACTTCGGTCAGCAATGTAGCAGTACTCTAGGTGGGCCGGCAGGCATGACTCGCTCTTACGCCAGGGATTTACAGAGTGAGGGCCAGTGCTTTGCCATCCATCACCTGCTCAGTTATTCCCAATTTAACGGCAGATCCTCCTGAGCCACAACTGAGCATCCAGCATCTCCTCTTCGGAGAGGAAGCATTTGGTGGGGGGGGGGGGTGGAGGAGGGGGGAACCTCTGAAAGGACACACAGCTGGACAAACAGACACCTCTGAGGGTGAAGGATAGCTCCTCAGAGGAGATGGATTTAAGAATATTTGTTAACCTCCTACTGGGTGAAAGGCCAAGTACTGGAGATACCACCAAGATACCATGAGAAAAAGAGCGGATGTCGTCCTGTATATTTATGGAGATTATATTCCAGTGGGGGGAGACAAACAACAAAAAGTAAACAAATACATAAAATGATTCCCCATGTAGCGAGTGTTGTAAGAAAATGAACAAGGGGCTAAGAAAGAGGTTGGTGGGAGGTCAAGATCACAGGTCAAATGAGGGAAAGGAAGGATCGGAGCAATCTTGGGGAAGACGGGGAGGAAATGAGGAGCAGTGAGAGCAGTGAAATGGAAAGGGGCCAAGGGCCTGTTTCCCTAGGATTAAGGCAGTGAGAACTGGTCCAGCTGCTGGTCTCAGCCCCTGGCACTTCCTGGCCTTAACTCATCCCCCAGCACTCACCCCCACCCCCTTTCATTGGCTTAATGATTCACTCTCAACCTTTCCCTAGCTTCCTGTATGGGGGGGGTGGGGGCGGATGAGGCAGAGCCGTGGGTCTCTGAGGGCGGAGGGACAGGGATGAGATTGGTTGGGAAGGAACGGCGAGTAGTCTGAGTTTTCTGGTTCTTCTCTGTCCCATTCTGGTCTTACTACAAAGAAAGGTCTCTTTGTGCCAGGAGGACGGTAAAGATAACTAGGCCCAGCTGGAGGCCCAGATTCCAGATGTGGGAGGTAGTGGGGAAACAAGATCCTGACATCCCTCTTCATTTCCCCTCCCCTGCCAAATGCCCTAGAGAAATTTTCCATCATAAACAAGTTGTGCATTCCTGACCTTGGGTGACCCCCACCCTGCCTCCCACCAAGCCATGTCCTTCCATCATCACTATCCCCCCCCTCCCAATTTGTATCTGTGTGAGCATGTATGTGGGCCCATCCACATAGGCAAGTAGTCTTGTATTCATGTTAATCACTGTGTAGTGTGCAGGTTGCCTTGGAATAAGGGTGCAGGTCGGTGTGCAGGCTCACTGCTTGGGTGTAAAAACAATGATGATGGCAGGTGTCAAAGGCAGGTATGGGAAAGGGATGTGTCTCTGTAGAGGAGGTGTGTTTTATGCTGGTCAGGAAGAAGTATGTAACACATGAGTTTAGATAGCAGTAATGGGTATAAAATAAAGCCACATAGAGGCCCAGGAAGCAGTTGTATATACAGCAATAATGTATCTATTGGAGTCCAAATGTGGGGATGTCCCTGTTTGCATCCCACACGTCCTTGCTTGAGAAATGCCATTAGGTGTTCCTTGTTTGGCGTGTAAGAATTGTCCCAGCTGTTCTTAAGACGCTAAAAATTTGTATGTGGGGTTTGAAAGAATGTATCTGTGTCTCAAAGCTTAGGGTGACCCAGCCAGGGTGTGAATACCATATGTGCATTTATAGTTCTGCATTTCCAGCTTTCATTTAACAAGACTGTTGAGCAACTACTACAGGTAAGGCACTGTGCTGGGTTTCATGCAGGGCACAGAGACACGTGTGACACAGCCTGTAACGGAAGAGATCATACGTGTACTCTGCGTGCACCAGGCGTAATATGATCTGGAGTAAAGACCTGAGCCAGATGCCTTTCAAATCCCTGGAGTCAGCCTTGATGCCTTCATGCTCTTACTGTCACTCTCCACGCTCCCAGGTTCTAATGATTCCCATCTCATTGCTAACTCGCTGTGGTCTTATGCTAGGGACGTCTCTTACTGCCACCCTGCCTCTTGTTTCCCTCTTCCATGGCCCATCTCAGGCCCTTGTTACCTTCCACCTGAACCCTTCCAATAGCCTCCTATTCCCTGCCTCAGTGTCTCCCCATCCAGGGCATTCTTGTCATCCTACTTAGTTCCCAGCTTGAACTACCCTCCTTTTATATCCTTCCGTGACCCACAGAATCCAGAATCTAGAGTCAAACTCAATCTCCTGGCCTGGAGCTTCAGCTAAGCTCTCCCCACTCTGCCCACCTCCTTTCCAGAATCATTACTTCCCACTACTCCTTTACAGGAAACTTACTGTAAGATTGTTTTTCTTGTGATTCCCCAAACACATCCTGTACTTTTCCAGCTCAAGGCCTTTGCTGATCCCATTCTCTTCCCCACAGTCATCTTCCCCATCTGACTCTGTGGTATCCCATCCTGTGAACCCACTGTTCAAAGTCATCTCAGATGCCACTCTTCCATGAAGCCTCACCTGATTGATTAGCAGATGGGAACGCTAGTTCCTTTGGGTCTCCCCTTTACACTTCGTGTTCAGTTTCCTTAAGACCCTCAAGAGAGTTCTCCTGGTCGGCGTCCCTCCCCAGGCATAGGGTGAGGTGCCGCTGAGTCAGCAGCCCATACACTGAAACCAACCTCAGTATTTTCAACAGGAGCTTTTTTTTTTTTTAAGATTTTATTTATTTATTTGACAGAGACAGAGCGAGAGAGGAAACACAAGCGGGGGGAGTGGGAGAGGGAGAAGCAGGCTTCCCGCCGAGCAGGGAGCCCGATGTGGGGCTCGATCCCAGGACCCCGGGACCATGACCTGAGCCGAAGGCAGACGCTTAACGACTGAGCCACCCAGGTGCCCCTCAACAGGACCTTTAACAGGGTGCCTGGCACCAGTAAATGCTCAAAGGATGTCAAATTGTGTGTCCATGAGCAGCTGTCTCTAAGGCAGTTATGAAAATACACCAATTCTCTTAAGTTATTACCATTACCACATTTGCATAATGTCTCACAGTTTAAAATGGTCTTTACAGGGCGCCTGGGTGGCTCAGTTGGTTGGGCGACTGCCTTCAGCTCAGGTCATGATCCTGGAGTCCCGGGATCGAGTCCCACATCGGGCTCCCTGCTCAGCGGGGAGTCTGCTTCTCCCTCTGACTCTCTTCCCTCTCGTGCTCTCTATCTCTCATTCTCTCTCTCTCAAATAAATAAATAAAATCTTTAAAAAAAATGGTCTTTACATAGATAGTGTTATTTTTTCTATTACGACAAGGACAAATCCAGGTAGCTGCTAACCTCTTGCCTTTGTTTTGTGGCACCAGCCTTATGTGAGCTTTTCTGCACACATCTTCGTAGGTAGCTTTATTGTGTTGCCCCTGCGAAGTCTCTGCACTTTTGCTCCGTGTATGTGCATGGTAAAGGGGAGCAGGATAGGCCTGCACTTTTGCTCTGTGTATGTGCATGGTAAAGGGGAGCAGGATAGGCCACCCCAAAATGTGCCACTTTGGCATGTGAATTATTTTGAGCTGAAGGCAATCAACACCCAGCCAACTCGGGGAAAAGCTTTTTACCTCTCCCTTAACTGCCTAGAAGAATTTAGATAGGGTCCTGAACCACAAAGACAGCTATTACCAGAGATAACTTTTTATCTAAAAGACTTACCTGCTTGGCAGGGCAAACATCTGACTCCCAAACATCTGCCCGTGAATTGCCCTCCGTCCTTTTGAAGCCCCAGGCCCCTGTTCCGTTCCTTAGCTCGAGATGGCATATAAACCTCAATTGCCTTTGAATCTCAGGGCTTCTTGGGCTCCTGAAGTACATAATTAAATCTGTTTTTCTCCTGTTACTTACATCAATTTAATTATCAGACCAGCCCAAGAAGCTAGAAGGAAAGAAAGGACTATTTTTTCTACCCCTACAATGTGGTGTGTGCTGAGGCAGGCAACATCAGGTCTGTGTGTACTAGTGTGTTCATTTCTCTGTCTTCTTGGCTATTTCTGTAATGACTTTCCTCTTGGTGTGCGTGTGTTTTCTATGTGTAGCTACAAGTGTATGAATGTGCGTGTGTAACCGTAATTCCTTGACTCTGCTAGGTCACTATTGTCCCAGCATGGCCAGATTTGTCAGTCCGCCTGCCTCCCCAGAGATGGGGCCAGTGGCCCAACCACCTCCTAAGCTCTCTGCTGGCCGCTCTCCAGCTACCGCATGCCCTGACATGTGCCTGCGCCCGGGATCTCACCCACCCCACTCACAACTCACACACTTACAACACACACTTCAGCGCCTAGATTGCACAGGCCAAGTCACCACCCCCTCTCTTTGCTTAACCGTCGGAATTTCCAGCTTGCTCCGGCCACCACTCCCAGCCGCGGGTGGAGTCGAGAAGGACCCGCCCAATTCTGGGGCGCACATAATTTGCTCTGCACCGCTGCACGTCCGCAGTCTGCCTTTCGCTCCGCTCAGTGCGCCATGTGTCACTCTCGCAGCTCACTCCCCACCATGACCGTCCTGCGGGCCCCGACCCCAGTCTCCTCCGCCAGCCCCGGACCCCGGCGGGGCTCTGGTCCTGAGATCTTCACCTTCGACCCTCTCCCGGAGCCCGCGGTGGCCCCTGCCGCGCGCCCCACCGCCTCCCGCGGGCATCGGAAGCGCAGCCGTAGGGTCCTCTACCCACGAATGGTGAGTGTAGTGGAAGTGGGCAGCCGGAGGGGCAGGGGGAACGGCCGGACGCCGGGGTCCTCAGCTAACCTGTCGCCTTTGTTGTCTCTCTTCAGGTCCGGCGCCAGCTGCCAGTCGAGGATCCGAACCCTGCCAAAAGGCTCCTTTTTCTCCTGCTCACCGTCATCTTCTGCCAGATCCTGATGGCTGAAGAGGGTGTGCCGGCACCGCTGGCCCCGGAGGACGCCCCCAGCGGCGCAGCCCCCGCGCCCACCCCGGCGCCCGCGGTCCTCGAGCCCCTTAATCTGACCTCTGAGCCCTCGGACTACGCTCTGGACCTCAGCACTTTCCTACAGCAACACCCGGCCGCCTTCTAACCGGGACTCCCCACATGCCCCTACTCAAGACAGTCCGAAAAACCAAAGAAACACCAGGTGTACCTGGTGCGCGAGAGCGTATCCCAAACTGGGACTTTCGAGGCAACTTAAACTCAAAACACTGCCGCGGAGACGCCAGCCCGAGCCTGGGATGAAACAAGCGCCGACACTCCGCACCGACACTCCCGGGCTAGGCCGCGTGGGGAAGAGCGTCATTAATTTATTTCCCACTGATCCTAATTAATATTTATATGTATTTATGTATGTCCCCTTAAGTGATGGAGGGGTGTATGTAATATTTATTTTAACTTATGCAGGGGTGTGAGATGTGCCTCCCTGCTGAAAATGCACTCTTGGTATTTGTTGAGCTTTGTGGGAAAGTTGGAGGCTGGGCGCTTTGGTTCTCCTTCAGAACGAATGGAAAGGTCCTGGATCTGGGAGAGCGCCCGGGCTGAGAGTCAAGGATGGTGGCGGGTCGTAGTTTAGGGGCTGATATTCCGTCCTCCAGGATTTCAACTCCTTGGATCTACTGCGTGAGTCTTTGGCGGACCATTGGGGATAAGGTCCTTGGCCTTCGATCTTCTCGAAGTTGCCCCCAAGGGGTGGCTAGGGTGTCGAAGGTCGGTGGGCTGTCAGCGGGCGGCTGTGGGGTCGCCCGGTATGTTCTGTGAACACAAATAAAGTCGATTTACTGTCCGTCATCTGAGTGCGCGAATCTTTGCTAGCGGCGATTCCCCACCCCTCCCCGCCTTCCGGCGCTAAGGGCGGGCGGAGCAGGGGCCACGTCCCCGGCAGGCGCTCCGCCCCAGGTGACCGGATGCAGTTTCGTTGCGCAGTGTGCGGTTTTCCAGTTACCGCGGGGCAAATCAGAGATGGGTCAATCTCCCCGGCCCTGGGTTGCAGACTCACGGAGGTCACGTCCCGCTTCCCGGGCGGAGCTCCCGGCCGGGAAAGGGGGGCGGCGGGGCTGGCTGCTTGCCCAGCAGGCGGGGCAGGCGGGGTAGGCCCGGCGCTAGGCGGGCTGCGGACGCGAGCGCGGCTTGCCGGGAAAGGGGCGGGGCGGAGGGTGTCCCGCCGCGGGGGGCGGGGTCGCGTCTGCAGAAGGAACAGGGTGCGGCCGAGTGAGGGGCGCGAGCGTCGGCGGGGCTGGCTGGGAGGCCGTCCCCTCCACCATCCGGACCGCTCCTCCGCTCCCCGACTCGGTGCGCGCCCTGGCCGGGCCGCCGCCAGCGTGCGGGAAGGTGGGTGGGGAAGGGAGATGTAATCGGACTGCGGAGGAGCAGGGAGGGTGCCGCAAGGTCTGCGGGCCTCTAGGCGCGGGAGAGCTTTATCAGAGGAGCGAGAAACTCCTCACCGAAGGCGGGAGGGCAGGGGGAAGGGAGTGGCCGTAAGCCCGCGGGGGGCGGAGGGAGCCGCTGGGGATCTGTGCGACTTAACAGGGAAATGCCTTAGCGACCCACGGGTGCGGAAGGGACTGGGCCCTGGTGGCTGGAGATTGGGCGAGACTGACGGGAAAGAGAGCACATTCACTCCTGCGGACCCCGCCCGCAAAGGCTTTCTCTCCCTTTCCTCCAGCTTCAACCTGAGCCATGTTTTTCACCTGTGGCCCAAATGAGGCCATGGTGGTCTCCGGTAAGTAATGTTCTCTTCTCAGCCAGTGCCCCCCAAACTTGCGGTCCGGTCTCTACCCCTTACCCTTCTCCCTACCAGCTCCCTAGGCCCGGGCCTTCTGTCCACCCCCCCACACACACACACACCCCACCTCCATGGCTGCAAGCCACCCACTTGTGATTCCCAGTGCTACCCTTCCAAGGCCCAGACTGCCTCCCCTCCAGCTCCCAGCTTTCCTTGTGGGGATTATCCCCCCCCCCACTCTAGTTTCTCAGTCTTCCATATTCTAGCCCTGCCCCTGCCAGTGCGGTTTACTGCCCCCGTACCTTGCAGGTTTCTGCCGAAGCCCCCCAGTCATGGTGGCTGGAGGACGTGTCTTTGTCCTGCCCTGCATCCAGCAAATCCAGAGGTAGGTAGAAAAAGAACCAGGGAAGGGGAACCCCAGTTTTCTCTCTTTTCTTTTTTTCTCACTGTCCACTCCTTCTTTTTCCCATAGGATCTCTCTCAACACACTGACCCTCAATGTCAAGAGTGAAAAGGTTTACACTCGCCATGGGGTCCCCATCTCAGTCACTGGCATTGCCCAGGTGAGGCTTTCAGAGCCTTTCCCCCCTGGAGTCCATTCCCTCATCACCTTCTTTGTCACCAGACATTAAGAATCTTCTGACCATGGCCTTCCCAACCTCTGGCTGCAGAGAAATGTCTCTGCTAAGTCTCACCTTCTCCAGGGACTCCCAGAGCACTTGACTCTTCCATTCTCTTCCTGCTTCCTACCTGGTTTCATGAGACCTTCACCACATTTTCCCTATCCCTACTCTGGTTACAGGTGAAAATCCAGGGTCAGAACAAGGAGATGTTGGCAGCTGCCTGCCAGATGTTCCTGGGGAAGACGGAGGCTGAGATTGCCCACATTGCACTGGAGACTCTGGAGGGCCACCAGAGGGCTATCATGGCTCACATGACTGTGGAGGTGGGCTTGAGGGCAGGGAAAGATCTGGAAGAGATGTCAGAGTGAGTGGCACCTAAGGACCCTGCTAGTCTCTGGGAGACAGTAGACAGGACTGAGAGCTTAAGTTCCTCCTTCCCACCATTCTGTTACCCTAGGAGATCTATAAGGACAGGCAGAAATTCTCAGAGCAAGTTTTCAAAGTGGCCTCCTCAGACCTGGTCAACATGGGCATCAGTGTGGTTAGCTACACCCTGAAGGACATTCATGATGATCAGGTAAACTTAGGTGGCTGATCCTCTCCAGTTCCCTGCTCCCATCTCTTAAACCCTCCCGAGGATTCTGATTGCTGCTTCTCTCTCACAGGACTATTTGCACTCCTTAGGGAAGGCTAGAACAGCTCAAGTCCAAAAAGATGCTCGGATTGGGGAAGCAGAAGCCAAAAGAGACGCTGGGATCCGGGTGAGAGAGATTCCACTTGGGGGATCACTTGGTCACCGTGGGCTTCTTGGGCATGCAGCGGGAGAGGGCATGGAAGGGGCACAACTGAGTGAGGGCTCATAGAGCCGGGTTGGCAGAGGAAATAGATGAGGCCACATGCATGGGAGCCTGGTGAGGAGCAGGCTCTCCCTCCTGGGGCCTTCTTCTCCCTGCTCTAATTTCCTCTCTGATCACTGTGTGGACAGGAAGCCAAAGCTAAGCAGGAAAAGGTGTCTGCTCAGTACCTGAGTGAGATCGAGATGGCCAAGGCGCAGAGAGACTATGAGCTAAAGAAGGCTGCATATGACATCGAGGTCAACACCCGCCGAGCGCAGGCTGACCTGGCCTATCAACTTCAGGTCAGAGCTCTCACACTGGGCAGTTAGTTCCTCTCAAGCCCTCCGTCTTAGCCCGCCACACTGTCTCATATTCTAACTCTGATCCCTTTATTCTGGCTCTACATTTCTGACCCAACTCCTCCATATCAGGAAGATTTGAAAGACCTAAGCATTTCAGTTGAAAAGCAAAGGAAAGGCCAAGAAGGGATATGGTCAGTAGGATGGGATGATATGTTTGGGCAGATTGTCCCCTGGGTAAGGGCACCTGGATGAGTGGCTGAAGCAGAGCTAAGATCCAGCCCATGCTCCACACTCACCATGCTATGCGAGGTGGCACCTTTTTCTGATTTTCCATGGCTCGTAGGAGCCCTGGTGATCCAAGAAGGGCATGGGGAAGGAAAACATGGACTTGGGCTTTGAATCCTGCAAAGTGAGATATGGGCAGCCCTTGATATTGCAAGGTGGCCTGGTCAGTCCTCATTGTTTGCAGATTCTGTATTTGAGAATTTGCCTACTCACTAAAATTTACTGGTAACCCCAGAAACAGTCCTTGTGGCACCTTTGTGATCATTTGCAGACATGCACAGAGCAATGAAAAATTTGAGTTGCCTGATGTGCATTTGAGGTTGAACAAGATGTTCTGCCTTCTTGTTTCAACTCTAATGATATAGAGTGTCATTTTCACAGTATATTTACTGCTACATTTTTTTATTTTGCTGTTTAAAATGGGCCCCAAACATACTGCTAAAGTGCTAAGTATTCCTAAGTGCAAGGAGGTTATGATATAACTTATAGAGAAATTACATGTGTTAGATAAGCTTCTTTCAGGCATGAGTTATAGTGCTGTTGGCAGCAACTTCACTGTTAATGAATCAACAATGTATATTACATAAGGTATCTTTAAACAGAAACACATATATAGCAAGGATATATACTGATCTGTCGTGAACAGGGGCTCACAGGAACCTAACCGTGTATTTCCCCTGATAGCAAAATAAGTATTTGCTAAGTCAGTATTCATGGCTACTTTATAGAACAGATCTACCATGAATAATGAGAATCAACTGTACTTTGAGACCTTTACCCAAAGGATAGCAATATTAGGAAATTTGTTTTTGCCAAGAGTTGGTATAGCCTTAAAGGATGATGAAGTACAAAACATCTTTAGTTTATGATGTTAAGTTCCTGGTGGTTTGACAGGTAATTGAGTGTGGCATAGTACTTGGCTCCTCAGTGTGGTCTGCCTACCAGCAGCATCAGCATCGCTGTGGAGCTTATTAGATACAAAATATCCAGCTCCAGTCCTACTGACTGAATCAGAATCTGCACTGATTTTTTTTATTTTTTATTTATTATTTTTTTAAAAGATTTTTTTATTTATTCAATTGAGAGAGAGAGAGCAAGTAAGAGCATGAGCAGGGGGAAGGGACAGAGGGAGAAGCAGGCTCCCTACTGGGAGCCCAATGCGGGACTCAATCCAGGACCCTGGGATCGTAACCTGAGCTGAAGGCAGACGCTTAACCGACTGAGCCACCCAGGCGCCCCTGCATTGATTTTTTTAAAGTAGGCTCCACGCCCGACCTGGGGCTTGAATGCATGACCCTGAGATCAAGAGTTGCATGCTCTACCAACTGAGCCAGCCAGGTGCCCCTAGAATCTGCATTTTAACAAAATCCCTAGGGAATTCATGTATACATTATAGTTTGAGAAGCGTTAACATAGTGGAAACCATTAGCTTGCGTGGTCCTTAAATAGGCTTTCCTTATCTGTAAATCAAAGGATTGGGCTGGTTTTGGCTCTGTTCCAACTTTTATCAGTTCTTTATTTTGTGCCAGGCTTTGTGCTAGGTGCTTGGGGAATTAAGGATTCATTCAGCAAATATCTATTAAGTGCCTGCTATGTGCCAGACATTGTTTTGGAAGTGAGGATGTAAGTATGAATGAGACAGAAAAGATTCCTGCCCTTGTGGA